GCCGAAGCGTAAAAATGACATCTACAGCCAGACTCGAGCATCCTACAACTCACACCCCAGTGCAACATGAATCTGGAACAAGTAACAACCACCCTTTCCCACGGGAAATAATCGGTCAACCCGTCTGCATCGAGCTCAATACCGCCATCCCAAGCCCCCAATCAAGGGATATCGATATCGATATACCGCTCCCAACCCGACACCTGCACCAGCAGCGGCACACAACTTGCACGGATATCCCTTGATCAAGAACGAGTTGCAGATGCAGGTCTTCAACCAGCGGTGTGTACGTATCTCCCGTTCCTCGTGCGAGAGAATCTTGAAGTCTATGCAGGTCTCTGCACAGGTACATCTACCTACATCATACATGTCTATCGCATCGTACAGTCCAGTAGCTGGCCTATCTCCATCCCCATCCCCAGCATTCCCCGATTCCCCAGCTAAACCCAGCCCGCAAACCCCGAAACTGTGTTTTGATATTCTTCATTGGAATAAAGAAAATCGGTGGAACGGTCTAAGACATCTCCCTGATAGCCGAGACAATATTCCCACCCACCCTCCCCAAACCCAAACCCATCTAGATCGGCATTGAATCTGCATCTTGTTCCAGATCTATAGACATATCTCCTTCGAGAATGTGGCAGTCTACTCTACATCCACGCGCAAATCGAGGTACATTAAACGTTAAGTTACGGAGTACAGTATGTAAGTTACAATCCAATCCGAGAATGATATACGCCTCAACGAAGAACAACCTAGTATGGCAAAGTCCATCAGCCAGCAGCCCAGAAACGGCACTGCAATCGCATTCGGCAGCTTGGGTCTAGTTTTAGATCTGGCTGTACTGTAGTGTAGTCCCGGCCGTAGGAATGGTTTCATCGTACATGATACATAATACAACTTATCCTGCAGCCCGCCCCAGTCTGTCTATGTGCATGCATTCCTCGATCGACAACCGCCCATCGCTCACTGAAACAAGCTAAGCTAAGCTGAGGTGACCTCCCCGGGTCCGGGTGGGAGCGCGCGCGTGGATGATAGACCGGGTATATGCGGGCGTTAAGGTTGACATTCTGGAATGTTGAGATGGGGGAAGAAACGGTGAGCGGACCCCTCTTCTCCTACAGACTACACTGGACTCTAGACCTGTGATCTGATTTTGAATTGGATTGGATTGGATTATGTTGGGGTTGTTTCGCGCTTGAGTTCTGGCGTGGTTTCTCCTCTCGAGCCCTGGAGGTCCCTGCGCGGGCTTATCCAAGTGGGGGAGTACGTGTATTTCGCACATAATTACGGGAATATGGGAATATAGGATAAAATATGAGTGAATTGAGGTTGAACATGACGTTCTACAAATGGTGGGGGAGGCCAGTTCGTAGTGTGTTAGTATGTCGTACATGAGAACCTCTTATCTGAGGTGTTTCAGGGCTATACTGGGCACACGCACTAACACATTGGCGCAGTGGATTGCCACGCAGGGGGCAACTGGCGGTGAATCCGATCTAGCCCTTCCTACGTGGTCGTCACCATAGCCAGTCATTGTCGCGCCGGACCATCGATCGGCGGGCTGCTGCAGCCCAAGGCCAATCATCGGCAAAAGAGGCATAGTGAATGGGTTATAGTCTCGTTACACATTTGGCCCGAGCCATCCTAGTTATTTCGGAGATATGAGAGCTTAGGGATTACTTGTCTCCAATGGTGGAATGACTCGATATTGTGGCGGCTGCGGACGGCTACGGCGGTTGAATTACTCGTCCCCCTAAGTGTTAGTGTTACATGTGTTGACCAAGTCTCAACCTTGAACGTGCAGTCGATCTCTTGGCTCCACGGGACAATGCAATGCGAGGTTAAATCCAGTTGCACGGCCCCCAAGGCCATCACGCCCGATCCTGGCGTGGTGCACTGTCATTCGTGAGGAGGGCGTCTCGCTCGTACAAGGAAATTATCAGGGCGTCACATGAAGAGGCTAGCTTAATTGTCGTACAACACATCAGTTCAGCTCAGGGAACATCCCTGTCGACTCGGCCAATTTCTCCCCTCGTGTCCCTCAAAGGCCTTGTACCCATTGTGTCCATGTCTGACGGCCTTATCTGGCATCAACGTCCGCCCAGACGGCTTCGGGCATAACCTGTTGAGGTACAACATGGAGCATGGTCCGTGAGACATATACTAGTACACTACACTACTGTAAGTAAGCACGTAGACAATAGAGAAACGCAATTTAATTAATTAAATCTCCTCGGAAAGTCTGGAGTCTGCACGGACAGAGTCCGCTGCAGGGTAACTCGCTGCAAGGTACGGACGAACCCGTCGATCGAGCATAGTCAAGTGGAGGAAAACGCCTCTAATATTGCTCTCTCCGTATGTAACTTTAAACCTATCCACCGGGCTGATACGCGGGAAGCCTCGGGCGACCAGAAATAAAGGAGCTTTGGCGTTACATAGTATGTCGCCCCCGGACCTTGGGCTATCAGTCATATAATAGTATGGGATATAAGTTAATGGAAGAATTGCAAATGATCATCTCCTTGCATTTTCGGGCTCAACGGCCTTTGTCCGATACATCACAAGTGCGGAGATGGACGATGACTGTGTGGTGGGGCGTCCCTAGTTCGAGTGGACTCTCGCTTGATCTGGCTCACCCGGAGTACTGTACGGTCCGTGACTTGGGGATAAACCGCGTATTCTGCAGTTCGGAGAACATAGAAAGATAGAGAGAGAGAGAGAGAGAGAGAGAGAGAGAGAGAGAGATGCAAAAGCCACAACCGACGGTCTTCAAAACCTCCGTAGACTATTTCCCTTTCCAGCGCACAGGCGGATCCCCTGTACGCTGTATGTGCAGCGGGTATCGGGCCGTCGATAGCGACCTGCCATGGTGCAGGGATCTGTCGCCCCCTCTTTTCTACTTTTTCTACCGTTTCCGCTTTTTTTTCTTTTTTTTTTCTCCCTCGGCTTTTCCTCTGTACCTGCTTTGCCCTAAGGCTTTGGGTTTGCCATTTAGTATACCCGTTCGCAGATTCCATGTGTCTTTAGCTGCGTATAAACTACGTTTTTGACAGTGTAAGGAAAATCTAAGGGAAAATTAGATGAATGCCTTTGACCATTGCTCCCCGTTTCTCCCCGACCCCGGTTCACCGACCTCTCAAGGGTCTGTGTGGCGGGCTCGACTCGAGACCGGCGCCACTTTGGAGAATCCACTTTGCGATAATCCCATGGAAAATAGGAAATTACAAAATCAAAAATTGGAGAATTGGAGAATTAGGCAAAGAAATTATGGTGGAATTCATACTATACCTCAATAATAGCCAGGATAAACGATTTAACCCTAGACCCATCTACGGTGGTCCATGCATGCGAACTGAAGCAATGACCATGGATTAGCTGTCACGGATGCGTGGAAAAGATGGCATCTGTCACCTTGGATCTCTTGTCCGAAATAGAGAATAATAGCTATGACAAAAAGCTAGAAATGCAAGGAGACTCTACGATTCCCCTTGGAAGAAATAAGCGGTGTACTGGGTCGAGCTGTCTTGACATCCGTCACTTTGCCCCTTGCTGGGATCCGGCTTCCTTTCTTTTTTTTGTTGAGAGCTTTTGGGGAAAGAGACTAATTTGATTTTTACAATATTTGCTCTGATTATTATCCTAAATATGCAGAATATTGGGTCACGGTGTAAGTCATCTGTCAAAGCCGATTTATCGGGCAATCCGATCTCCGCATACATGTACAAAACAAAAGACAAAAGGAGTCTCTCATTGTCACGGGGTCTTCCAGGCCAGATTGTGATGCTACGTGTGAATCTCATTTCAATCCGGGCTAAAATTGGGTGGTTGGACAGGAATCCGTTTTTCCTTTTTCTATTTTCTATTTTCCAATTTATTTATTTTGTTTATATTTTTCCATGCTTCCCAATTTCGCCTCTCTCTTTCGATAAACGCCTGGACTCTAACTGGTGACAGGGATCCCTCAGAGAACAGACCCTTGATCGCCTCAAGCCACCCGTGTTTCGTGGTGCCCTCTGAGCCACTGATTTTCCCCTCTGCATCCCTAGGGTGTGACGAGCTTTCTCTGTTTCCTTTTTTCCCCCACCATTACTCACGGCCCGCCTGAATAGATCGTCCCGAACCATAGCCGTATTCTGCTACTGTAAACAATACAACTAATGAGTTGGTCCACTTAGGTCGGTTATAGCCGTAGACTCTGAAGCGACGGTGTTAAAAAACTTGGTCTAGGGTCGACCGGTGTCGGCCTCTCTCAGTAATTATTCCGGAGACGTTCGGCCGGTGTGTTCGGACCTTGCAGGCTAGAGAAGCGCTCGCAATCGACAGTGCAGCCGCCGCGCATTGCCGGGTTCAAGTTGTTTTGCACGATGAAAGAGATCTAGGCGAGACTACAACATACACGTTAACCATGGTAGCTGTCTCTCCCCGGCCATCATCCATGGTTCACCGAGTGGGACCCGCGTGGATTCCCAAACATCAACTGTCATCAACATGTAAATAATTACATATATGATATTAAATAATAACTCATATTAATCGATCGATCCCCACTAACCTCCTCTAGATCCAGCGGGCCTATCCCGGCCGATCAGCGCAGTCACACAGACCAGGATGCCTAATTGGTATAGCCATGTTAACGCTGATCCGGAGAGTCCTTGCTTGGTGGCGTACAGGGAAAAAAAGAGAAAATAATAATTAGAAAAAAGACATCGAGTCTAGAGGATCAGTCTCCACTGCCCTCTCTCTCTCAAAAGACGGGGCGAGCCGGGATTTCTGCAGACTTCTTCTCTTCTTCTTAGACACCTTAGTCAGCTCTTTCTTTTTCCCTCCACTGATCGACTTTCCCGCTGCGGCTCAGCGTCATCTTCTCTTCTCTGTAAGTTTGTGTGCTTTTCTGTTTATCTGTTTCCTCCTATTTTTATCCTCATCTTCATTTCTATCATCATTATTTTCATGTTTTGCCTTTTCTCAAACGCCTCTCCAGCCTGCAGCGCATAGGGATGCGTTTGCTGCACCACCCCAGCCTCCACCTTTCTGTACGTCTAACCGCGCACTTTCCTCCACCACCCCCCTCCCCTCGACTTGTCTGAGACTTTGGCTTTTCTTTCCCCCTACCTTCCCGGCTTCGGCCTTATTTTTACCACTCTATGCGCTCCATTTCGCATGTTCTTCTTCCATTTGCATGACCTGAAACGACCAACTTACGTGATCCCCTAGTTCCCTGGAGCTTCGACCTAGAGTATTCGACCTTCCGATGTGTTCGATTTCTCACGACTCTTAATGATATTGATGACACTTCCATACTGAAGTCCCTTTTTGTCTATTTGACCAAAAAAAAGTCCATCTTGCGCTTTCCCTTCGGCCTCGAGTCTTGAAGGTGACGATTTACTACGCTTTCCCACGACTATTTGCCCCTGCATTGCGTCTTGCATCTTTGCTTTGACTGAAAGCCGATTGATACTTTGTTTGCATATCCGTGCAACATCCTCAGTTCCTGTGGTTTCCCCACGATTCTGCGCCGATCCTACTCATAGCACGCCGGACCTTTACCCACGTCCGACGTTCGCTTTATCTTCTGCTCTTTCAAACCGTTTCTCCGTGCAACCGAAAAGCTGGAGCTGCCGTCGATCTCGCAGGTCCACACCCGCGGTCCTGCTGACATCCCCTGGTACAACCCTCACGCGGCCGAACGACCGTTATTGTCCGGCGACAAACTCCCCGCTCTGAGCTTGCCGACAGCCACCCAGGGCATCTCCCGAACCGCCTATCAAGACCCCAATTCTGCCAACTCCAGCGCCCGCACAAGTCTGTCTGGGGCTTCCATCCCGGTGAACGAGCCTAGGAGCCCTCCGCCCTCTGCGGACCTCTCTGGCACCCAGGGCCGATTATCACTGGACTCCTCTGCCCCGACGGAATATAGTCTTCCGCCCTCGGTCAACGACGGGTACTATCCCAGCCCGACTTCTCTCGGCAGCATGAACCAAGCCCAGCCGTATATGGATGTTCACTCACACATGTCCTCTGCTCAATCATACGCTCCCCAAGGTACAACCGCTGGCGCCATGTCCCATTATCAGTACCCCCAGCAACCTCCAGTCATGCAGCCCTCTGCCTCTTACGCCCCCGTCTCCTACCCCCAGTATGGCTACCACACCGGGGCCACATCTCCACCAACAGGACAGCCCCCGAGCTCTATGGGTGGCCAGATGCCCGCCCAGTTGCTGCCCTTGCCTGGTAAGCTCCAAAGCATAAGCGGGGTCGATGATTATTCTGATCGTTATCAAGTGAGCAATCACGGCGTGGCACCTGCGGGTGGTTATGGAAACAACACGGGCGCTCCCCTTCAGGGATTTGTCTTTGACCCTACCGGTCAAGTGGCACCCCCTGGAGCGAAGCCGCGAGTGACGGCTACTCTGTGGGAAGACGAAGGGAGCCTCTGCTACCAGGTGGAAGCCAAGGGAGTCTGCGTGGCTCGACGTGAGGGTGAGTGTAACATGACCATCAATTGAAAGAATTTGGCTGACTCGATTGCAGATAACCACATGATCAACGGCACAAAGCTGCTAAATGTGGCTGGCATGACTCGTGGTCGACGTGATGGAATTTTGAAGAGCGAGAAGCTCCGCCACGTCGTGAAGATTGGACCAATGCATCTGAAGGGTGTCTGGTATGTATTTTGAAACTTAACATGGCAAATCAAACCGCTAACGATCCTCATAGGATTCCATTCGAGCGTGCTTTGGAATTTGCCAACAAGGAGAAGATCACTGATCTCTTGTACCCGCTCTTTGTGCACAACATCGGTGGCCTGCTGTACCACCCGGCCAACCAGACTCGCACTAACATGGTGGTGCAAGAGTCACAGCAGCGGCGCATGGAAGGCCCACCACCGGGCCCCCAGCGCACACCCTCTGGGCCTCAGCAACCTCCCAATCTTCACCACCATCACTCCCTGCAGACCCCCATGTCTTCTCACATGTCGCAAGCCCCAATGTCCGGGCAGCCGGGCTCCCGCCCAGGCCTCGACCGGGCCAACACTTTCCCCACACCCCCAGCTAGCGCATCCAGCGTGATGGGAGTGACAAACCAAGGTAGTTCATACGAATGGGGTGGCCAGGGCATAAACTCTAGCGTGCCGCACACTCAGCCCCTGTCAATTGACACGACGCTGAGCAACCAACGCTCCATGCCCACCACCCCGGCGACGACACCCCCGGCCATAACATGCAGCACGGCCTTGCCTCTTACCAAGGCCAGCCGGGTTACGACAGTAAACCTTACTATTCGGCTGCTCCCCAGTCCCAATCTCAATACGCCCCACACACGCCATTGACCCAGTCAGGGATGCCCAGCTACGGCCAGTCTCTGCCGGGCAGCTACATGAAGAACGATATGGCTCCACCCAATCCCAGAGCCCCTGGTGCGGCTGACCCGGAGAGCACAGAACGCCAGCCGGAGCATTACTCGCGGAGTAACGGTGCGCCCGGCGACTCTGTCCCAGAGCATGAACAGGAGTACCTGCAGGACCACAACAGTGGCTATAACTCCAACCGGAACTCCTACACCTACACCACCAACCCCTCCGTCACTTCATTGACTGGCGAGCACTCGCAGCTCACCCCGGAGATGACCAGCTCGCCTTCACAGCAGAATGGGTCGGGTCGCATGACTCCTCGCACAGGTGGTGCGCCTCCCCACTGGGCCTCCGGGTATAACACTCCTCCCCGCCCTGCCGCTGCTACGACTTTGTACAACGCCGTCAGCGACACCCGCGGTACTCCCGCGAACGGTGCGTCAGACCCGTACTCCATGGCGTCGTCCTCGACACCAGTCTACTCGACTGTCAATGGATCTATCGGCTCGGGCAGCAAGCGCATGCGCGAGGATGACGATGTCATCCGCCCCGACAATGGTGCAGAGTACGAGACCAAGCGCCGCAAGACAATCACTGATAATACAATTGGTGGCCCAGTCGGCGGTGCTCCAATCCTACAGCCCATGAAGACGAGCGGAGTCATGGCTCGCCATCGCTGAAGGGCGTCGGTGTCATCCACAGCCTTTTATGATTGTGTGAGCTCTTAGCTAGCTTTTGTTTGGTCATTGTTCGTTATTCCTTGTTCACGGTTTTGGTTATTGTTTTGTTGGTCCATTTCTCGGTCGGAGTTTTTCATGATAGACTGCGCATGCTCCACACACCCGCGGTGGCGTCGCGGACTTTCTTCTCTCAAAGTGTCCCTTACCACACACCCACATTCCCCCTATGCATGATGACACCACAGGGCTTGTAATCCTGTTGATTTCGAAACGAAACGAAGCTCATTTGTTGTTTGTGTTTTCTGTTCCTGTTTCTGTTTGCGTTCTGTTTCATGTTCCAGGGAAAGAATATCTCGGCTTTGGCTTTGAGAACAATGATCCTGTGTGGTACGAGGCGCTGATCTGATACTGATATATTTTCACATGGCAATTTGGCATTTCAACTTGAGCCTTTTGTTTGTTGGAAATGGTTCAGATCCGCCCGGCCTTGATGACTATGATGTGACGAATTTCTTATGAACGAATTTTCTATGTGTAACGGGGCCATTCATTTAATTGCTTTGACTCGTTTGTCTTTTTCTTGGTTTTTCTATTTATTTGTTTTGTTGGGTTGAAAAGGATACTGTGGCATGGGTTTTTCTTTTTTTGCGCTCTCCTTCACTAACCCCTAACTCTTTAGAGAGATGATTATCATGCTAATGAACGGTTATGAACTCTTGGTCTGCATGTCTTAGCGACATGCAACGTTGGTTTTTGGTTCAGTCGAATTCATGGATCTTCTCCACCTTTTGTAGTGCCCCAGTAGCCTGTAGCCTACTGTAAAATGTAGATCGCAGTAGACCAAAGATAGATCTGCCACACTCAACTAGATATCAAGTTACAAGTAAATGCCAATCCCAAGCCCCGAAGCCGCCAAGCCAAACCAAGCAAAAATCGGGGAATGCTCCCCTTCCAATCCTGCCACTCCTTCACCCCTAAATGAAGATGTATGTATACCCCGTCAGCGGGAACGGGGAATACTTCCCCCTTCAACAAAGAAACACGAAAAGAAGTTATACTTGGCGACTTCAGCATCTCCAACGTCTCAGATCATATACCCAGATTCCCCACTTCTATCCATCCACTCCCTATCCTGGAATTGGTCAGTTTTTGTGAGTCTGGGGTTGAGTCTGGGGTCCCCGCATGGTTGATTCGTCCTAATTTCTTCATGGCTTATAGTATTTGCCTTTCTGGGGATTTACTGGCTGAGGTGTGAGGCGATGAGTTGAGGGGGCTATCGCGGATTTCTTTTCGTTCTTGGGTTCTTGAATTTGTCTATAAAGACGGGCATGGGACGAGTCACCTTGTTGCTTTTGTCTATTAGGATAGGAACTTGTCATCTCCCCTCATCTCTTTTTCTGGGCTTCTTCTTCTTCTGATGCTGATATTGATTTCAGATCTTTGATCAGTACCTACTCAGTATGGATTCCAAACTTGATCGTTCATCTCTTGATGATAACAAGGCTGATATCATCCATGAAGAACTGGCAAGACTCGAAGAACTGGATGACTCCATTGAAGAAACTGATCCAGGCTGGGCTGTCTGGTTGATTGCCTGTACAGTATCGATGGGAGGGTTCCTATTCGGTATGTACACATCCAAAGCTAACACAGAAAAAAAGGCTACGACACAGGCGTAATATCCGCCGTACTCGTAAACCTAAACAAAGATCTCGGCCACATTCTCAGCAGCAAAGAAACAAATTTGATAACCTCAATCACCTCCAGCGGCGCCCTAATAGGCGCAATCCTAGCAGGTCTGACCTCCGACCGCTACGGCCGCAAGCTAGGAATCTACCTAGGCTGCGCACTCTTCATTGTCGGCGCCGTGCTGCAAGCGGCCGCATTCACAGTCGCCCAAATGACAGTCGGCCGACTCGTCGTCGGACTTGGCGTCGGCAGTGCTGCGATGATCATCCCGCTCTATATCAGTGAACTTGCGCCTGCGCGTTTCCAGGGTCGGATGATTGTTTTTGATAATTTGTGTGTTGCTTTTGGTCAGCTTGTTTCTTATGCCCTTGGAGCGGGTTTCACGCCTGTTGCGAATGGGTGGCGGTATATGGTTGCGCTTGGGGTGTGCCGGCTATCTTTTTGGCGGTGCTTATGCCTAGGTGTCCTGAGTCACCTAGGCAACTCGTTTCTCATGGACGGTTTGAGGAGGCGGGCAGGGCATTGGGGAAGATTTTTCCTAATGCCAGTGAGGCGCAGGTTGCTGGTAAGATTCGGGTTATTGAGGCTGCTATCGAGGAGGGAGGTGTTTCTATTTGGGAGAGGAGTCTGAAGTGGCAGTTTGGGAAGCTTTTCCTTGTTCCTGCTAACCGCAGGGCGCTTATCACGGCTTGTATGGTTATGGCTGGTGAATTTAGTTCTTGGTAGATGGGGATGGTGTGTTGTGCTAACTTTGTAGTTCTTTTAGTCTATCAGCTTGATGGTTTCAATACCCTTATGTACTACTCGAGCACGCTCTTCTCAATGGTTGGCTTCGATAAACCTGCTGCGGTATCTATTGTTGTTGGAGGTACAAACTTCCTCTTTGGATTTGTCAATTTCGCAGTGATTGACAGGTTCGGACGACGAGTCATTCTGATTGTCACGGTCCTCGGCATGGTAAGTAGCATACCCGTATGCTCATATCAACACATTCTAAATATCTTTTTCTTCTTTAGTCCCTCTCACTGGTAGTAACAGCAATCGCCTTCCACTGGATCCCAGTAACACACATGGACTCAGCATCAACAACAACCACAGGCTCTGAATCCTGGGCAACAATCCTACTCCTAGTAACAATCATCCTCTACGTGGCCTTCTTCGCCGCAGGCGTCGCGCCAGTAGCATGGGTTGGCACGGAGCTTCTCCCACTTGAAGTGCGCGCACTGGGTACAATGGTCAATTCTGTGATTTGCTGGGGATGCAATTTGATCATCTCGAGTACGTTCTTGTCTATGATGAAAGCGATGACACCGAGCGGGACCTTTGCGTTTTACGCGGGTATTTGCTTTGTTGGCTGGCTCTTTGTTCTGGCGTGTTATGCCGAAGTGCATGGTATGCCGCTTGAGGATGTTAGTGCTGTCTTTGAGAAAGGGTTCGGGGTCAAAGAGGCGAAGATTTTGCAGAAAGAGATTAAGGAGAGGAAGAGGGCTGAAGTTAGGCAAGAGGGGGTGTTATAGATAATTGTAGATTGTTAACTGTAGAGAGTATGGGAGAAATGACTGTTTACTTTGAATGATATTGGATTATTTAGAGAGGAATGATAAGGATACGTATCTGGCAGGAAAATAGCATCAAGTACTTATACTAGTTAAGCCCTTAAGATAGAATTTAACACTTAACTTACATTCAACTCGGTACGCTTCTCCGGGAAAATGAACATAGTGGCTTACTGAAAACAAATGATAATATGAGTAGTATCTCCAAAACTAGCAAGAAGGGGGAGTAGCAATTTGGGGCTTTGAGGATTAGAGGCAGGCAATCTCGCCTAATGTTTGGGGCCGTGGGATGATGGCTGAGGACCAAGATCGTTCGTGGTGTAAAATCGACATGAAAGAGAAGATTCCGGCATATTGTTCAGCCAGTCAAATTACGGTTGCCAGGCCCTACGCGATGAAACCTGATATCAAATGTGCGCCGAAAAACGGCTAAAGTCTATAATTAGGATCTTCGAATAGCCATATAGCAATGTACTCGGTGGTGGACTCTGCCCACGCCCCCAAAGGACCAAGTCAAATATTCTAAAAATACCTCTAACATATGGATAACCTAATAGCTTCAACTTGGGCTTTGAGGTTATCGAAACGTATAAGCTCGCTCCAAAGGTTTCATGATCGTGGGATTATTGGACACTCAGTGCTGATGTGGAGGAACGCAGGGACAGTCGTGAAAGAAATTCAAGTAAACAAAAACCTCTAGTAAAAGACAAAAGATTTATCAAATCATGCCTCGATAGATGATCCCTTTTCAACCGTATTTTTCATTTCTTTGTTTGTCAATTCCATTCCCGATACCAAGATCCATTGCACAGTTCTGGCTTTCAAGACAGTAGAGCCTCGGAATGGAGCTTCGCACATTTGGATTCGACTCAAAGGAAATATCCTCGAGCTTCAATCTGAAAGGAAAAGACCGCAACCAGTCTTTCAAGGGCCCCATACCTTGAACTTGGATCGAGCTTCTTTGTTGCATATGCTTTCTCAAAGAATCCCAACAGCTCCACAGTCCACTTGATCAAATTCTTGTCGTTTCGTGCTAGTGCTTTAGCAAGTTCTCATGTTTCTTGAGAAGCTCTCCAGCTTTTCTTATAAGTATCTCTGTGATCTCTCATCATGCTAACATTCGTCTCGTTCCTCCCCCAAATATAAACACTCTTCCTGAATTGAAACTTAGGCTTCTTTAGAATTGGCTTCACAATGCCACCACGCCGCAATGTACCCTCAAGGCAGCACAGCACTCGTGCAAGCGTGTCGACTCAAGGTACAGATAATACAGGTGACCCCATGGATATCTCAGCCCCGGCCTCAGAAAGGCAATACCCAGGAAAGAGAGGAGCGACCACACCCTCTAGGGATATGCCACCTCCCAAGAGAACGAAAGCAACTGAGGAAAAAGAACCCAACTATGGTATTGGCGGCAGCCCGAATGATCCCACTTTCCGCAAAGAGCTCAAAGTCGAGGATTTAGATCTTCACAAATCCTATGTGAAAGATTTCAAACTAGCGGCTGAAGCACAAAAAAGCTTAAAGGACCGCGGCAACATTTCAAATACGATGGGCCAAAGCCTATGACTGATATTACGCTTCTTCCAGATGATTGGAACTCCAAGGAGCCCGACCTCGACGATGAGTAAGTGTTGGTAGATGCCTAACTCATATTCTGACATGAACTAACCGGGTTAACATAGAGACTGGGATGCTCAAATCAAAAGATGCAAGGAGAGAATTGAGGAAGGTCTCATGACCCATGCCTATGAAGCCAAGCTCAAAGGGTTCGAGGAAGCTAAGGCTCGTGAAGCGTGAGTCTCCATACTCTTATCTTTCATTGCAGCCACTAAAAAAAGGAAATAGCGCACTGATCAAATCAGTGGTGGGAGATAGCAATGAGCTATACAGCATGGCTGTTATCAAAAGACTGGCCACTCTCATGGAAATACAAGAGGATCTTGAGAGCAAGGATGACAAGACCAAGACCAAGACAGATCAGCTTCCTAATGTGAAGGCCTTGGTGAAAGCCTATAGGAGTCATGAATTGGAATGGCATGAGGGACTGATTACTTATTGGTCTCACGGGAAGAAACTATGCGAGCCAAGGCCATTTGATTGGGATGAGTTTGAGGCGGTAAATGACAAATACGAAGGCCACAAGGGCTTCTGGGTAGAAGGCTCAGACGTAGGTTTTCCCTAATCAAGATCAGAAAATTTGAAGCTCAGTCTTTTTTACTAGGTTGAAGCTGCTGGTACTACGGAGGCCAATGCAATAATTTCATTCACACCTCGAAACCCTGGACAGCTTTATTATGTAAGTTTGCCTGTTTTTGCCTGCCCTTTTATCTCAATGCGACGCTTTATGCCAATGCTTACATTTTGATAGTACAACGTTGCCTGCCGCTTTCCCAATTTCGCCTGGTGGCATGAGCTAGAGTTCATGTGGGACACCGGTTCCTCGCTGATGACCATGTATGAAGGCGATATTCGATCGCTTATGGGCCCACAGATTGCTCCACAGGGCTTTATTCCCGGAATACATCCATACCATGGTCCTCGAGTGCTTGGTGTCATCCAGACCGCGGCTTACGGCGGTGCTACAATTAGCTTCGAGATGGTTCAGATTGAGGTTTGCTTGTTGGACGACCACCGAAAGAGAATGACACCATGGATCAGGAGATCAGTGGGTATGATGATGGGCTTACCTCCAGTCCCCGGCACTGGCGGATCGCCCAGGCTTGACGACAATTGGCTTCGGCATTGCGTGTACGTAGGCAGTGCACCAGAGGTCTCTCAGGCACTGAGATTTGCTACCAGTCCCGGTGCGCTACATCTTCCAAACAGGGGAACTTGTATGGCTAATCCACCACCCGTGCCGAACTGGATGCCGCCACACCCACCGCTATGGCGGACTCATATCCCTCCGCTCACGGCGCCGACTCCGATGCCGCCAGGGCCTACGTGGCTCGGACAGCCACCGAATATGCCACGGGCAGCACCCGGTGTCCCGTGAGAGATTCTGTGTTATATATACATTTATGTATGTATCACTCTCTTTGTTCTTTGTTCTGCTTCTCATTCTTTTTTTTTTTTTTTTTTTTTTTTCTCTTTTGGTTGTTGCGCTGTTTCCACTGATGTTTGTGACCATGGCCACGATGCCCTGGCAAATGACATATCTCGTATATATATTGAATAAACAGACTCAGCCCAAGTAAAATTGAACCTAGTATGCTATTCTCCAGTAGTAAACACTCAACCCCGTACATACCTCAAGCCACGTGATCCGCACTACCCTAACCCAAAATGGCAAAACCAAAATACGCCTCAACCACGGTTCCATCAGCTGGACGTCATCGCAATATTTCAATTTTAACCCAGGGGCACCTCCAGCCCCACGCCATACCCCGACAGCCCTCAATACACCATGCCAAACGACCCAGCAAAAAGGCCAGGGAAGCCAGCTGTTGAAGCCAGCAACCACCTTATCTTCGATCCCTGGCAATCAGCTTCGACGGGCCACCAGATCGCTGACCCGGGCTGCACAACCCATGGTGTTGATTGGAGGAATACGCGCTCCACAAAGCTATCCCAACAATATAAACATGGAGATTGCATACGGGGACGGGGACAAACGCAGCTCCCAAGGGATGCAACGTCCACAGAGCCGACGCTCGTGCCGGGTGCATTCAATGGCCAGACACAAACAGAATCTCCACCGAGAACTAGTGGAGAGTGGGCTTGGGTGACGGATGATGTAGCGAAAAGAAACCAAGCTGGCCTTCGCGATATCCGCAGTTTTATGGGTGTTGGCAAGAGAAAGGCTGCTGATGAGCCTCGGGAGGTCAAGATGGATAAAAAGGCGCGGTACATTGAGAAAGAGAACCAGACTCAAGACCAAAGGCAGAAGGTGGACAGCCTCAAGCCGGACTCTGAGTCTGGCTCTTGTACTGGTGAGTCCAACCTCACTTTAAAGGCCAAATCGAACATCTTCGCCGGAGTCAGGATCTACATCAACGGATCGACACTTCCCCACATCTCCGACCACAAGTTGAAGCAGCTGCTCACTGCCCACGGCGCCAATTATGCCATCTACATGGCTCGAAAGACGGTTACCCACGTTCTGGTGGGCCAGCCCAACGCCGTAGGCTCTGGTGCTGGAGGTGGTCTTTCTGCAAGCAAACTCCAACAAGAGATTGCGCGCGGTGGGTGGAAAGGTGTGAAGGTCGTTAGTGTTCACTGGTATGCGCTGATTCTAATCTATGTAATTGGCGAATCACTCTTCTAACATGCTTGTGTAGGGCCCTTGAGAGTATCAAAGCAGGTTGTCGACTTGCTGAGTCTCGGTTTCCTGGTATGCATGTTGCGGCGAAGGGGCAGCGAAGTGTTGCTGGCATGTTTGGGGCTCAGGCTAAGTCCGGTCAGTCCGGGGCGAAGAAGTGAATTTTGATCTAGCGAGTTGTTCTTTCATTGCATACGTGTGTCACAACACGGCACCGGCGGCGTTTTGGATTGGCATGCCGAAGTTTCGGCTTGTGCTTGTGATACCCAATGATCATGATGTTCTTTTCATCTCTATCAATCAATACTGCATATCGAACCCAATCTACGGAAGTAACTTACTGCGGTTTACTATGAAAACCGTAGTTGTCTGAGGATCATTCGTATTCTTTACTTGATCATGTATCACCATTATCGTGACATCCGTATAGTTATATACACTCAAACACAAGCACAATAGTACACACCCGTTACTCAAAACCGGGCCAGACCCAAAACATAGAATTACAGTTCCAAGAACTAACAGATGTAAAAAAAGAAAGAACCAAATGAATCAACGCCGCAGCTATGCAATACATTAAAAACGAGATTTATGCAAAGACATCATAGATCATAGATCATGAATGGCGATACGCCCGTGCCAAAGAGCCTTATTTCAAGGCGTCAGATCCCCTTCTTCCATCGCTATGACTCACGACATATGTCTCCGCCAACCACTCTGCCGACGAGTCGGGAGATGGTCGTCGACGTTACTTTCCGCATCGCCAGAGACGGATGTCAAGCCCACAGATTCAGACGAGACGGATCTCATCCCGGAGGCATCGGCGGTAGTTGGCATGAGATCGTTTGTGTTGATGGGTGTGATATCAGGGAGCGGGGGAAGAGGGTTTGGATGGCGGTGTGTAGAGAAGGAGGATTGAGCAGGAGGCGGGGCGCCAGCGTAGGTTTGGGAAGAGGAATTGGTCCGTGTGCGAGTCCTGCTTCCTGCCGATGATGGGGGATGCTGTTGCCAAGTAGGATAGTCGTGAGAAATAGGTTCGGGGGAAGATGTTGTTTGGCGGTTGTTGGGGAGATAGTAAGGGTTTGCGTTGGTGTCGTAAACATGGTGATTGTCTTCATAGGCGGGGAATGCTGCGGTTGACATGCTTGATACTGAATTTCCGTGGGGACGGCCCGTGTATAGTGGCTGGGGTTCGCCGAGGTCGGATTCACTGCTTGACCAGCGCTCGAGCTTTTCGTTCAGGGGTTCTTCTTCGGGTTGGGAAGTTCGCGAGTCGCCATGGACTAGGCCAAGGGATTCTTCTTCTGTGGCAGACTTGCGAAGATCGCCTCCAAGGTGAGTCCGGCGCAAGATGCCACGGGGTGAAGTCACTTGAGATTCACTGCCGGCCTTCACACGGTTCATCATGTTGTTGAAGGAGAATTGGCGGCGGGCAGTGTTAGCGAGAGGCTCCGGGGCAAGGCCGTCGGGCTTTTCGTCAGCCCATGAGATCGATCGTGGGGTGTCGCTACGGGGACGGTTTGGATGGAACGGAGCATCCAAGCCTCCAGCTCCGTGATACTCTGTATCGGCATTAACACCTTGGTGAGGCATATCTGTCATACGGACAGATTGTGTGTTGGCATCAAGATTCTTCTCTTCCTGGGTGAGTACAGGCTTCCACTGCCCATGATGAAGCACGCTGGTAGCCCGAGATCGGATACCATCCAGGAAAGAATGGCCACTTTGCTTTGTGGTGGGTCTGTGCTCATCTTTCTCCTCTTCAGTAGGGAAGTGTGACATGCCCCACGGTGGATGTTGCTGCTTGACCGAGGGTGTTCGCGGAGTGCGTGGTCGCGACATGATAGGACCTTCTCCAATAACAGTCTTGCGCCGGCGCAGACCATCCCATTCAATAATCTCATCTTCACCGGGTGGCTTCAGATAATCCTCGTGCTTGTCGTGGAAAAAGCGACGGGCTTCATCTGATTCCATGGTTCGACGGGCTGTAGAGATACGGCGGATGATAGATGCCGCACCGCGAATAGAGTCAGCTTTGGGCTCGGATTCGGGCTCTTCCACGGTAGCAACCTCGCGGATCTGGTCGAGATCGCCCTTGAATACAGCAGCATCAGGAACATCCTTGGCAGACTTGGATAGCTGCAGTAGAACCACGCCTGCACAAATCTGCAAGAATCCAATGATTACGGTTGCAATCTGAACGCCCGTACCCTTGAAACCCTGGAACAGGATAGCAGAGGTGATAATCGTGGCACTTGTGAACATCACGTAGTAAGTCGGGGTGACCAATGCAGCGTTGAAAATGTTAAGAGCTTTCTATAAAAAGGGTCAGCGCAATTCAAACATATCAGAATGATCGAACATACGTTCAGATAAATGATCTCAGTCAGTAGTGTTCCAATAACGAACACAAACAAGACATAGAGAAACCAATGCTTAAACTGCTCCTCGCCGTTGATCTGAGCAAGAATAGCTGAGCCCAAACCCTGGGTAGCAACGACACTCAAACCACCAACCATGCTGCAAATACTGATATAGACAAACATACTCTGCTTGCCATATCGCGGACCAGCCCAAAGAGCCGTAAAAACAGCCCCAACGATAATCAACCCAGCATAAGTCAGAAACCCAGGCTGTATAACGAAATGCTGCATACCCTGAATATCATCGACAGACGACTGCTCAGGCGCATTCATGGCAATAGTCACGGACCCAATAATACAACAGAAACAGCCAACTTTCCCAACGAAACTCAACCGTTCTTTGAGGAAAATAGCCGACAGAATCGTTGTAATCACAACGGACAGCGCACCAAGCGGCGTAACGAGAATCGCATCGACGAAAGCATACGCAACAAAGTTGCAGATTTCTCCGATGATCATCAACGTCATGCCAGTCCACCACCAAAAGTTCTTCAAGTATCCGTATCCCTCTCCGGCCTCTTCGTTGTATTTCACATTCGCCTTGAGCAACCCGATCTTCTTGATCACGAATGATATACCGATAAACACACCGGACGCAACAGCTAGCGAAATACCAACGGCTTTGTATACCGGCGGCCGACCTGAGCTCTCAGCGCGAGCGAGCAGCGTTGAGGCTTGCGATAAGGCGGAATTGGGATCCATGGTTGCGAGATGTGAGGTGTGTGGAAGGGTCACACTGGCCAGCAGTGGGAGGCGAAAAGAAAAGGGCCCCGTATCTGTCGGGGTAGAGAGTCGTCCGAAGACGAGACTCAGCGACTATCTGAAACACTTATCGAAGCTGCCACGCTGTATCGCTTGAGCGTATCGCCTAGGGCGACTATCAGTGGGACTGGTTCGGATCGAAATGTCGAAATGTCGCAACAGCGGACAAGGGTAGGAGGAGTGATCTGGAATAGTGTCGATCTAGGAATGCTTCTGGAAAGGGCGGCCACGAGGAAAAGAAATGTGGGATTTCCGCAAGGGGGCACGTCAGACGTTGGCGCTATGACTCTCGGTGGCGCTTTGATGCAACGCAAAAATCAAGGGTTTCGAGGGTGTAGGAGAGAAGAGATGCTTGAACAGAAGAGAATATGACTTGAGAAATACAAGCAAAATGCAACGCTGGGAAAAGGGGAAGGAGATTGTAAAAGTTGCAGAAACAGAGTGGCTGGGTTAGTCCATGTGGGGAAAGGAGGTACGGGCGGGTACTTGCTGGTGGGGCAGAGACACTCCGATCGGCAGGTACCTTTGATGTACCTTTTTGTCACTCAAACTTATATCTAAATAGAGTGGCGATTCTAGACCCGGTCATTGGTCTTGGCTTAATCTATGTAAATATTGTATAATCTACCGACATGAACTTGTATGCAGGTTCTAACCTATCATGGATTAAGGGTTTCACTTGGACTCCTCTGTTTTATTCGAACTGTAGACTACTACTATACAGATATCCATGCCACACTGAAGTCTGTCATAAACGTCGTCATTCATTACGCCCGAAAGCAGGTATTGGCCATCTCCCTCGAAATATTCAACTAACAAAGGAAAAAACGTAAGGTAAGAATGAAACCAGGGACATGATGGCCTCCATGCGCCATGACACCTCATCCCGACCCTAATCACCGTCTCGAACGAGGGGTATTCAGCAGGAAGGAAAAAAAACAAGAAACATAAAAATGCAAATATAAAAGTTGAAACAAGGACCCAAGATAAGAACATATGCGAAAGAGATTATCGCACATGATAGCTGGGTTTGCGTTGTCTGTTGACCACCGGAGGAGGCTCATCAACGGGGTAAGGAGGTCGGACCTTGTTGCCGGTTGAGGGAGCTTGAGAGAACAGAGGTGCGGGCATAGCAACACCGCTCTCATCCTGAGATGGGTATGGAATGGGTGTTTTGGGAGGGACTGGTGGAGGCCCGTTGAATGTTGCAAAGTATTCATCACTGCGGTGGGGAGAGCCCTGTTGTTGTTGCGAGCTCGGGCGACCCTGGTCATGGCTTCGACGATAATTGACACCATCACTGGATTGCCTTGGGGAGATAGGTATATTATCCTGTGGCGTAGGATGAACAGGTAACGAGTCGTCCGGCGGGGAGACCGTCACGCTAGTTGGGATTGGGGGCGGTGCGTGCGTAGGTTGATGGGCGAAATCAATGGGTTCTGCGGGTAGTTCTGCGGGCAATTCGACGGCGAAGTGCTGGGGAGGCGGAACGTATGATTGAACGGGAGGAGAGAGCGAAAGCTCTTCGGTTTCAAGATCAAAGGACAGGTCGTCACGGTCACCGCCAGCAGCAGCATGGTTTGCCAGACGGCGGTTCATGCGATCGATCTTAGCAAATCGGACACCAGCATCCAGAATCATCTTCTTAACTTCGGGCTTGGCCAAATATTGCCGTGTGTTGGTGCTGATATCAGCCAACCGGTTCCATTCATTCATACCAAACTCGCCAACGCCGACTTCCACGTTCAGTCGGAAGTAATTGTCCTTGGGGACATTACGTTGGGCGAGCCGATCTCGTAACATTTCATTGTGAATGTCCTCGCAGCCCTCAATTTTAGTGATAAGTCGACGGCGTGCCTCGGCGAAAGTACCAAGCGCATCGCCAAAGAAATCCTCCCACCATTCATGCTGTCGGTTGTTGGTGCCAGATGGTCGCTTTCCTGTGCCCACACTGATAAAGACGCCGACTTCCCGACCAGGCCACTCGTTCACCACCGCCTCATCAAGAATCTGCGGCGCAGGGTTATATGTGCCCGGGCCTTCATCGATAAAGACATGTTGACCGATCTGGATCGGCTTGAAAGCAAGTCCCGTCGCGGAAGTCGCACGGCCTGCTTGCCATATTGTGCAGTCAAATTCAGGTGGGGGTTCCCTGCGGGAATCGTAGGAGCGCAGAAGTACGGCCGTTCCTTTGCGCGGCGTGCCCTTGTATAGAGCAGTGACAGCACTAAATTGCATGTTAGTAATGACAAAAAAGGCATTGCATGATAAAACTCACGTTTTGGTACGATATTCTCGACTATCGTAGAGTAGCGCATCGGGGTTACCCCAGCGCAGACCATTGATGAAAGCAGAGCCTCGTTGGCTAGTCGGAGACATCGGATGAGAAGCAGCAGAAGTGCTGAAACTACCCCGACTGATAGACCGCTGAGGAACAGAGTTCGGACTATACGGCAGACTGGCAATGGAATTACGCGCGTTGGCATTCGGCGTGTCATTGCCCTCCGCCTCGAAGACTGTATGTTCCCGCACACATTCCCGAATCGCCTCCTCTAGCTTGGAAGCCTTGAACAGCGTCGAGCGGTACGGAATACCAGCGATGGTTTTATCGGTCTCGAAGACTTTGCGCGTCATGCGCACGTAGACCTCTTTGCAAGTCTCGAGGTCGAGGCGGAGACGACCGAGCATCAGGGCGATGAGACCGCCAGTGCCGGTACCTGCGATCAAGTCGAAGTGATCGCATGGCTTGGGAATTTGGTCGCGACGGGGAGGCTTGCCTTCGCATTCGACATAGGTGCGGTACATGAGTTCCTGGAGGAGAATAAGCATGGAGTAGCCACGTACACCACCGCCATCTGGTCAAGTCAGCTGAGTTCTGATATTGGCGGGGAAGCGAGAGAATGCTGACCGAGCGAGAGGATCCTCAGCGGAGGACCCTTTGTGGTATCCTTGCGGCGCAAATGAGCTGGATCCATGGCGATTGTAGCAGTTGGAACGATTGCGATCGCCTTTTTTTCTGCGGCAGCTTACCCGCGGCGGGGCTTAGCGATGCCTTATGCACCGGGGGAATAAAGATTTGGCGCCTGACTGATCCGGTCGGGGCGTGGAAAGAGGCAGGAGTGTCACACTGGTGAAACAGCAGTTCAGATACGTCGGGCGTGACAGTGTGGTGTGTGGGCTCAAATAGGCAGCGGCGGGTGGATGATTGGAGGGGCTTGAGCCACGGTCCCTGCGGTAGTTCGGTAAGGCTGGTTCTGCACCAACAGTAAACCTTTAGTGTATGGAGAGGACAGCATGCAGTAGGCAGGCAGTATGTAGGTAGTGTAAACAGGTCTAAAGATTCCAAAGTTATTCTTGGAATCTTCTTTCCATGGATCATGCAGATCAGGTGACTCGGGGGCTCGGCTGTGGCGGTGCAGTGATGATGTAACTGTGGCGTACGCCAATACGATCTTGATATTGGCGTTTCTCAAGGCTTCAATTTTGTAGAACAATGTTTCATTTTGAACATCCAAGGACTGGCTAAATGTTTTACCCAATTCATACTGCTACTTCGTGGGGATTCATCAAACCTAACATGACGTCACAATGCAAAAGTGAAGTATGGAAAACTCGAACCAAACGTCAAAAAGAGTGCCCGAGATGAACTCAATTCGTCAAGCCGGGCCAATCTGAAAACCAATTAGTGATCCCACAATGTATCCCAAACAAGAAAAGCATGAAAGACTCACCGAGGACAGTCCTCTCCTTGCCACGCTCCGCAACAACAACCTCATCCCCAACTCTAAGATTCGTCCCACTCCCGCGGGGCTCCAAAAATGAGTAGCGCCCAAAGACAGGACTAAACTTCGCCCCTTTATCCACCCTACGATCCTTCATCAATTTCTTAAGTACAGTCCCAGACTCATCAGTCCCCATCTTGCCAGTAGTATAATCAACATTAAGACTCTGACAGCGCACACAATTCCCCGTCAACAACAACCGCGTCTTTTCAGAGCCTAAAGTAAGCACACTCCAAAAGTCCTCTTCAAAGGCATTCTCAGCCCCCGAAACAACAATGTTAGGCCGGAATTTAGTCCGATCCATCTCCGTCCCGTCCGGCAATCGTGCCGAGACATTATCAACGGATGTCTCGGAGATAACCAGGTAGGGCGCACAGTCGGCGAAGGTGATGCGGTCTTCAGGCTGTGCGTGTAGCATGTAATACAATACTAACGCAACGGGTGCTAGGAGTGCGGGCAGCAGACTACTTGCTGTATGGGGTGTCTTTCCCTGTCGAATGAAGCTGTCTGCTTGGATGAGTATGTTGGCCACGAATGCGACCACCAGCACGGGTAAGAACCACTCTCGCTTTTTGTCTGTGGTTTTGTTTGTAACGATGTTCCAGATTCCGCGCAGAGCTGGGCTTTTGTTGGCTTTTGCTGGTGCTAATGTGCCCAGTACTTCTCGTGAGTTCGGTCCGAGGTAAGCGAGGATTACAGGGTATCCAAAACAGGCGCTGAACCAGTCGTTGTATTCAGCGCCCATGTTGTAGCCTGTTGTTGGGCTTTGGTGCATTGTGACTGTGAGAGGGTTGAGGGTCTTTGTGTTGGGCTGGAGAGGGATCTCGAGTCTCTTGCGCTCGTGGGGTTCGGGTCCAGACTCTGATGGTGGTGGGTGGTATGTGACTATTACTTTTCCGGTGTCGTTCTCGGTCTGGGGGTACTCGATGTCTGTATGGAAAAGGGCCATCTCGGGGAAGTGGGGGACATGCATGTTCTTCAGGGTCGTGGTGTCGGAGCCATCCTCGGCGGGCAAGACCTTGAGGAGCATAAAGTGACGGTCATATTGGAAGCCGCGTGGAGTTAAGATGCCCTCGTTGACGGTAGTCGGCCGCAGCGACTTGATCGGGTAGACGTAGAGCTGTTGTTCACGTTAGTTACGTCCCATTAGATATGTGTCGCGGTTCGGGGTTCGCACCTGGCTGACTTTCATGGTCATAAATTATGCTTCCTGAGAATACAAGAAGAGGGAAAATTCCGCAAATAAATCCGAGGGGAACGATGTCATGGAAACTGAGTTTGGCGCAAACAAAGAACTGATAAGTGATAAGGCGATGTAACTAACTTATACGACTCCGGTACATGTAACTAACTTATAACGTTATGAAACATCTACAATTGTTCTACCATTTGATCTGTGTAATTTTGAACATCTTGAATCATATTCGTTTCGAACCAGGGATATACAGAGAAAGGAAATTAGAAAGGAAATCGTCTATTGGTCCTCAGACCAGGGCAAACTGAAAGTACCAACCCAGTCCTCGACCTCTTGGCGCAGGAGAACAATCTCGGAGATCTCCTCGCCCTCGCCCAGGTAGTCCAGGAAGGCCTTCACTGTGCCAGGGTTCTTGACGCCCTTGGACTGAGCGTGCTCGCGAGCAACCTTGTCCAGCTTCTGAGTGATGATGACAGCGCGGTCGACGATGTCAGCCACGCGACGGAAGTCCTCGGGCTGGAAGCCACGGGAGGTCATGGCGGGGGTGCCAAGACGCAGACCACCGGGCTTGAGGGCGGACTTGTCACCAGGTACGGTGTTCTTGTTGCTAGCAACTCCGCACAGCTCGAGAACACGCTCCACACGAGCGCCATCCACGCCGCGGTTCTTCAGGTCCACCAGCACCAGGTGGTTGTCGGTGCCGCCGGAGACGATGTTGTAGCCGAGTCCACCGTTGCTGGTGGAATCGCCGAGGCGCGAGGCCAAGGCTGTGGCGTTGGACAGAACTGTCTGCTGGTAGTTCTGGAAGTCGGTTGACTGGGCCTGCTTGAGCGCCACGGCCAACGCGGTGATGGTGTGGTTGTGAGGGCCACCTTGGTGGCCGGGGAAGACGGAGGCATTGATAGGGTTCTCCAGATCGTACATGACGGCGTTGCCCTTCTTGTCCGTGCTGCGCACGCCCTTGCGGTAGAAGATCATGGCGCCACGGGGGCCGCGCAGGGACTTGTGGGTGGTGGTGGTCACGATATCCGAGTAGGGGAAGGGAGACGGGAGCACATCGGCAGCTACGAGACCGGAGATGTGCGCCATGTCGGCCAGCAAGTAGGCGCCCACGGAGTCAGCAATCGCGCGCATGCGGGGGTAGTCAATGAGACGGCTGTAGGCCGAGGTGCCCGCAACAATCAACTTGGGCCGGTACAGGTTGGCCATCTTCTCGAGTCCGTCGTAGTCAATCAGGCCAGTCGACTCATCGAGGCGGTAGGGAAGGGTTTCAAAGTACTTGGAGATGGCGGAAATCTTCTTTGTAGGGGTCTGGTAGCCGTGGGATAAGTGACCACCGTGAGGGAGGTCCAGGCCCATGAGGCGGTCGTGGGTGTTAAGAACAGCGGAGTAGGCCATGAGGTTGGCGGGCGAGCCGGACAGAGCTGGTAACGGTTAGCGTTTTGTATTCCATTGCATATATCCGTATATCATACGCTGAACATTCACTCCCCACTCCTCGGGGTTAAGACGGTAGGTCTCAAGAGCACGCTGCTGGCACAGACGCTCCGAGGCATCAATGTGTTCGTTTCCACCATAGTAACGGGCGCCGGGATATCCTTCGGAGTACTTGTCTGCATTGTAGTTAGAAGGGCCGGCCGATCTGGCAAGCAAAAGCGGGAAACTGGAGTACATACTTTGCATAACACTGCCAAGAGCATCGAGGACAGCTTGCGAAGTGAAGTTCTCAGAGGGAATCAGGTTAATGAAGTGCTTTTGGCGTCTTTTCTCCTGGAGAGGTATTAGCAAGTCGTCGGTTCCGAAGCTCTATCAGCAATGACGCACCTTCTGCAGGATATCGTAAACGGCGGGGTCGGAGTCCTTAAGGGAGGACGATAGCAGCTGGTAAAAGGTCAGTATATGTGTCTAGCTTGCCATTGAAACCCTTCAAACCACATACCTTGTGCTGCGCATCGGGAGACGACGATACTCCCCGCGATTGAGGGGCCGATCTAATTGATGGCACGATAGAGGCCCGGGAGACAATAGCGCGGGAGCTCCCTAGGGGGAGCAAGCGGGCAGCGGATCTGCCACAGCGAGACAACATGGTGAAGCTGGAGCTGAAGCTGAAGCAATTCAAGACCGGGGGGTATATGTACTTGGCCGATAGGAAAGCATCGGCTTTTAAACAACGAATGCTTGTCGGACAGTAACTGACGCCTCTCCGTTCTCCGCGGAAAGCGGGAAACAGCGCTATTCCCCATTGAGCTCTCCGCCTGGTCCGTGCATCAGTTTGGGGTTTTCTCGCTCGGCAAAATTTCTCCCTCCTTTTCTTCTTCACACAACTAAATCCAAGATGAAGAGACGGCGTTTTATCTGTGTCAGCACTCGTCGGTGACGGCTAGGCTTCGGTCTGGCTGGCGCTGGACGGGCGCTGCTGACAGGTCCCACGCCTTTAACCATCCATTGAGGGACCAGTACCATCGGATTGGAATTGTTGTGCGTTTGGTTTGCCGATGAATCGGGATGGGATTCGGCTTGGGCTCCAGACCCTGCCATCTTAGGCTTGGATTATCTCACGGCATCCAACAGTTCCACCATCGCATTGGCGATACTCCTAGTTCAGCGAGGAGCTGTGTTGATAGCAAACTCCGAGCGCCTCTGAGAGTCTACCCCCTATTTAGTACATAGAACACAATATAATTACTTGACGACAGTTCAACTTGCAAGACATCACCTGCCTCTGTTTCTATTCAACCTAGCTACAACACAACCTTCGAACAGGTTGTACTACATGTAAGCAATCACCCCTAGCTAGTAGGGAGCAATCTGTTGACGTCTTAACCGCAACGACATAGGCTGTCTAGGGATGATGATTGTAATGAAGATCACCAAGCTCTGCGTGATTTTGTGGTGCCTTGCATTCACTGTCATTTTATGAGTTGCGAAGCTTGTTTACTATAATTAGTGATCACATTGACCAACGACGATCAGACTCCATGACTGATGCTATTTGTATACATTAATAACACTAAAAGCGACACTACAGAAGAAGGGTTGATAGAGTGGTTTTACTAAAGCGGTTAAACTGCCACCTAGAACGACCGTTAAAACTGAGACCTTTTAAGTGCCTAACGCACATTGCCAAGCATTAATCTTATTGTTTGGCTCTTCTGCCCTTCACATTGGCTAGGAGACATAGCAGGGAAATTGGTCATATTGTTTAAAGAGTAAGCAATATCCTTTTCTGCTGTGTCTTCTTTTACACTCGGCGGTAAAGAATAACATTTCCAAGTGATGTTTCCAGATGATTATATTGTCAAATGGTTTGTAGAATCATAGATATATGGCTCGCCAACCTCCACGGCTCCCAATCGCGGGAACTTCGCGGGGCAGGATGCAATGTCGAAGCTCCACTAACTTGAACGTTGTGAGAAAACTACAATTAGCAACTTGTATGGAGTACAAATCAAAGAGACAGACTTGACCAAAATGACTACATACCCACATCAGAGTAAGAAGATCAAAGAACCTAGACTCGGATAGCCAATGCCTAGAAAATCTCGTCCAACCCTAGCAGCCACAACAGCCAAACTAGGAAAGGATTCTCGGCCGCACACGACAAGATGGTTCATGAGAGCGTGTCCCGAGGGCTGGAGGACGCCAGGAGGAAAAGTGACTTGTGGACCCATATTAAATTGGCTGCAGAACAAGTCCCGATTGACTGAGACATTACCTAGGTGAAGCCGTTATTCTACGAAACTATTGCCACGCGCTGTCTCTGCCCCTTTTCCCGTCTTTCCACAGTTCCCTGGGCAGAGAGTGTCTAGTGCACGGGTACCTGAATCTCATTAAATTAGCATTATATACTGCCCCGGTCTCCCACTTCTCCCTTCTCTTCTTCACCCACGCTTACATTCTCTATCCCCGGTTCTTCAACCGATTACATTCTTTTAAGAACTCACTCTCTACACTTCGCGTGTGCATACCCCTCAACGAACATTCTTGGAATTATTCCTTTCACATCCTATCACAATGCGTTTCTCTATCGCCGCTCTCGCTGCCGTTGTCGTCGGCGCTGTCGCCTCCGATGTCACCACTGAGGTTGTCACCCAGTACACTACCTACTGCCCCGAGGCCACCTCCGTGGTGCACGGTAGCCACACCTACAGCATCTCGACCGTATGTTCGTAACAAGCCAAAACACGCAACAAACACTAACAAAACAAATAGCCCGGTCACATCACCATGACTAACGGTCCCTACACCGTCACCCGTCCCCTCGTGACCTCGACCGTGACCCAGTGCAACAGCTGGTAAGCAATCAACATATCAATACACAGAACAATTCCATTCTAACTCCATCCCAGCTCCTCCTCCACCCCCTTGGCCAGCAGCAGCAGCATCCCCGTCGTGCCCAGCGTCGCCACCTCCACCCCTCTGGTCCCCAACGCCGGTGCCACCGGTACCCCCGGCTCCTCCGCCGGCTCCCCCTCCCCCTCCCAGCCGGCCTTCAACGCCGGTGCCATCAACGCCGCCACCGGCGCCGGTGCCGGTCTGGCTGCCGTCTTCGGTGCCGTTGCCCTCCTGCTGTAAAGCGGTTGAATTTCAATGGTATCACGAAGAGATGGCGCGATCTCTGTGTTCGCTTTGAGCATGGCGCTTCGCTGTCGGGTGTTCAGGCTACGGGTTCTTCTTGGGTGTATATGTCTTGTCTACGTCTCCTTAGATAATACATAATTGTTTTCTTCCCTTTGGGTGTATCTTGTTCATGTTCTCCCCACTATGCTGGGGTTTTTTGTTGGTTTTGCGCGTGATTCTCCTGGACATAACGTTTCTGTTTATTATCTTCATATCACTTCAATCGCGAATGATCTCTCTTTTCTCATTGCTGTCTTCCGTATGAAAGTAGGCTTCGTAGTCGACGATGCTCTTGACGACTCTTATCATCGTCGGTATCTTCCGAACGCATATTGAAGTTGACGTCTTGATTATCGGCCAAGCTTTGGCGATCCTCT